TGTCTGGTGTATGCTCAGGGTGACGCTGCTATCATGTGTGTATATCAGTATATCTGTGTGTATATATAAGTGTGTGTACAATGGTGCTATGTGTGTGTGCATGTGTAACCCCTAATATCAACACTCCCCCCCATGGACAGTTGGGTGCAGCTTGAGACTGTCCATGTATAATATATACAGGTGTCGTTAAATAAAGTAATTCATAATACCTTTGTAGTCAACCTCGTTAAAACCCCACTAATGCCATAGTAAAAAACTACTCTTTGGTAGAAAAACTAGGCAAAGGAGGAAAGAGTATTGACTTGCGACAATTCATGCAGTGTACACATACCCAGCATTTTACGTAGTTGTTGATGTTTGTTGGCTGGTAATGTTTTGGTAAGTATATCTGCAATGTTGGATGTGGAGGGTGTATAATGTACGGTAATTTGTTGATTTTTTATCAGTTCGTAAGTGTAGAATATTTTTGGTGCCATGTGCTTTGTGGCTTCAGACTTGATGTATCCAGACTGTACGTGCCTTATACACGGTTGATTATCTTCGTAGATTGTAGTTGGTGACAATGGTTGTGTCTTTAATATTTGTGACAGATTTGACAGTAGTGACCTGATCCACGTTAGTTCTCGTGTCGATTCATATAGAGCAATCAGTTCAGAATGCATTGATGAAGTAGCGACAGTGGATTGTTTGGTTGACCTCCATGACACGGCAGTTCCATTTAGTAGAATCACGTATCCCGTTTGTGACTTGGCCGTTTTTATGTCAGATAGGAATCCAGCATCTACGAAGACACGTAAGTCTATTGGTCTTTGACGTGTTTGATCTGTTCCATATTTGTATAGCAGTCCTAATTCTTTGGTTCCTTTCAAGTATCTCAACACTTGTTTGAGACCATTCCAGTGACGTTTCGATGGTGAGTGGCTATATCGTGCCAAGAGGTTTGTGGCAAATGCTATGTCAGGTCTACTTGTAACCGACAAGTATGTCAGACTTCCCAAAACTGACTGATATCGTTTTATGTTCCAATACTCAGGCTCCGTATTCAAACGAGGACCGTAGATGTCATTGGATAAGTTTCGAATTTGTAAAGGTATAGTTGATGGCTTGCTATTTATCATATGGGTACTAATCAACAAGTCTTTTATAGTATTTTCCTGGTTGATGAAAAGACCATATCGTGTCAATTGGATTTTGATTCCAATGCACTGGATTGGCTTTTCTGGATGTAGTATACCAGAGTCCTTCATTTCAAAGGTAGCTTTCAGCATTTCTCTTGTTGTATTCACTGACATCTGACTTCCTATCACACAACAATCATCTACATAGATTGACACTACTACTGGACCTGTATTCAATATACGGAAGAATATAGATGGATGTTGGATATGGGTATGGTATTTGTTTGATTGCAGGACTCTTGCTAGTGTGTGATACCACTCACGACCACTTTGTTTTAGTCCATATAGTGCTCGATTCAGCCGTACTACTGGATTGTGGATCGTGGATGGTATTTCGATCCCTGGAGGCACCTTCATGTATATATCGTGCTCCAGCGTTCCATACAGGTATGCCGTTACAACGTCTAGTGTCGCTATTTTCCAGTTGTAGTGTATCGATAAAGCTAACAATAACCTATAGGATGCTATGTCCACCACTGGCGAATATGTTGACTCGTACTCAAAACCTGGACGCTGGCTAAATCCTTTGGCGACTAGTCTAGCTTTATATTTGGATATGTTGCCGTGGACATCTTGCTTCGTGGTGAACACCCATCTATGGTCTACCATTTTTGCTCCTTTTGGAAGTTCGATATGTACCGTAAACACTTCTCTTTTCTGCAGTGATTTCAATTCATCTAATATAGCTGCTTTCCATCTAGGCCAGTCGTTGGATGTTTTGCATTCTTCTATTGTAGTTGGGTATGTATTTGGCATTGATTCAGTTTTCGGTGGTGAAGTTTGTTGGGTGTCGATTATTCTGACATTGTCTTGTTTCTTTTGCTGACTGCTGTATAAAAGCATTAGGTCTTTTGGGGACTGCTTTCTTTGTGGTACTGAATGTATCACTATAGGCTCATCGTCATTGTCATCTTGTGACATGGTGTCTTTGGTAGACATGGTTTTCTTCGACATTTTCGACATGGAAGGGATATTCCTTTTGACATTTTTTCCGACATTGTCTGTCTTGGATGATGATATTGACACGGGTTGTCTTTTTGTTGATATGGATTGTCTTGCTGTCGAATATGATATGGTGTCTTCTTCGACATCTTCATTTTCATTTTCATGCTCTTCATCTTGTATTACCACCACTCTTTGGGATTGTTTTGGTGTCATGCTATGTGACATTGGTGTCGAATCATGCGACATTGGTGTCGAGGTATGCGACAATGGTGTCGAACTATGCGACATTGGTGTCGCTTTATGCGACATTGGTGGTAAATACTCATCATCATCCTCGTCGACATCTTTTGTCGATTTGGTATTTCTTCGTTTAGTAGGTGTCGTTGGTGTCGATTCGACATGTTGTGTCGTTTCATCATTTTCAGTGTCGTTAAAGCTGACATTCTTTCGTTTCTTGTTTGTTTTAGGTGTCGATTTGGGAGCTGGTGTCGTATTTTGCGACATTAAGTATGGATTTGGTTGCTCTCTTATGACTCTCAACAGTAGTAATTGATTTGCTAAGTGGTCCGCAGTTGCTGTATCAGGTATGTCTACTACCGTGTCGGCAGGATGTATGTTGGCTTCCATCTTTGGAAATACGGTCTCATTTACAACACATTCTTTCAGCGTTGCCGTAGTGTAGTTGCCAGTTGTTGGGTCTAGTAGTTTGACAATGCTACTTCCAAGGTAACCGACATATATCTTTTCTTGTCTTTGATTTGACATCTTCCCTTTTTGTAGAGATTTTGGTATTGGTGCCCATACTTGACATCCAAACACTCTTATGGCATTCATAGACGTATTCAAGTTAAAGACATGGTTGGGAGAATCATGGTTTAGAGCTTGATGTGGCCAATTGCTGATAAGATCGTTGGCATGCAGATATGCATCGTGCCAATAACTTAATGGTAAGTTGGAGTGGTGTAATATAGTTCGTGCTACTCTTGTTAACTTCTTATTATAGGCTTCTGCAATTCCATTTTGCTGTGGAGTGTGTGGTGTTGAGTATTGTGCCGTAATACCATTTGCTCGACAGAAGTTATCGAATACTATTGACTTGAATTCACCAGCATTATCAAGTCTTACAAACTTCAAGGTACATTGCGAATGGTGGGTTTTGATAAGGAATATGGTGGTAAGAATATGTTGGTAGGCTTCGTTTTTGGTCTTCATTGGGTATATAAATCCTTTTCTACTTCTGTAGTCAACTGTGACAAGTATGTACTGGTGTCCTCTTTGGGACATGGGACGTATTTGTCCTATTGTGTCGACGTCTAGTCTCTCTCCAATGTCTACTTGTGTGTCGCCTGTTTCGGTAAATGGTTTACGAACATGGCTACTCTCCACACAAGCTTGACAGTAATCTATTTCGCCTTCTTTTACATTGACAGTATTGATGTCTTTAATTTTCTTTATGGTTGTAGCTGATGCATGACCCATCCTTTGATGTAATATATTGGGGCTGATGTTCTCTTCCACTGTCATCACTTCTTCTGGATCAGGTGGCTTGATCTTTATACAGTGCGGTCGTTTGTAATTGGGTATGTAATTGATTCTTTTGTCATCGAGTATTATATGATCATGGTATAAACCATAATTCAAATATTGCAGATCATCTGTTGATAGAATGTTGACATTTCCCTCAGGTGAGTAGTATGCGGTTGGTATGTGGATTTGAAGACCATCCACTATGACTGTAGCTTCACCGTAACCTTCTACTAGTTCATCATTCGTGACGTTTCCAAAGTATCGTATCGTCTTTGACCCTTTACGGTATGATCGTTTGTCGAAGTATTCTTTCCTTGACAAGTATGTAGCTCTGGCTCCAGAATCTATCAAGGCTATATCTGTATCTGTGTGGTTTGGGTTCTTCAATATTGACTTTATGTTCTCCATCACATACAGTTCGGTGTCGTCTTCGTAATCAACTTCATCTTCTTCGCTATGTGGCTTGTTGACATTGATAAAGAAGTTGACTAGTTCTTGCACTTTCTCTGCAGATATTTGTTGTGGTAATGTGATAGTGGTCTTGGGATGTTTTCGAGTTTCCGACATTGTATATACTACTGACTGATTATCCTTTATAGGTGTTGGATCACGAGTAGAAGGTGTGTAGATTACTTCTTCCACATCGTCACCAGTGTTTATCTCTTTGACATCTGTCTCATCATCGTTTGTCAAGTCGATGGCTGTGGGTTCAATATGTAGCATTTCGTCGTCAATAGTAAAAGTATCGTTCTGGATGTTTGGTGCTTGACGAGGGTTGTTGTTGTAATAGTTGTTATACTGATTCTGATTATATCTTCCTCGATAGTTGCCTCGGTAGTTATTTCCTCGGTAGTTGCTTCCTCGGTAGTTGTTTCCTCGGTAGTTGTTGTTGAATTGACCTCTATATCCCCCTCGTTGTTGTTGTTGCTCTTATGGTTGTTGGTATGGAGTGCTTTGGTTGCTTTGGTTTGGATATGGTCGGCCTCTATAGCTATACCACCTGGCTCTACTTCTTCCACCTCCACGACCACGACTACCTCTTCCTCTATCAGTATTCTTTCCTGGATCTTTGGCTGGCTTCTCCTTTCCTTTGTCGTCTAACGACATATTTTCTTCTTTGTCTTTGCTGGAACCAGGTATACTGAGGTCTGGTGGAGGTGCTGCACGACTGGATAATATGGCTTCCTTCTCCTGCAGCTTCTGCAATACTTTCTCATACGTATTTATCGTATCTTTGTTTATTCTGATAGCATCAGCGATCGGTTCGTAGGCTGGTGGTAAGTTGGCTAGGATCTTTTCAATCTTGTGGGGCTCAGTGACTTCAGCTCCAGCTCCAGCAGATTTCATTTCAGTAATTGCCTTCCTCATCTCTATATCGAATGCTGCTAAAGATTTATATTCGTTGACTCGGAGGTCGTTCCAGAGTTTACGTGCATGAGGTAAGCGAATGGATTCAGTGGTATCGTATGATGATTTGAGCTTATTCCAGATTTCCTTCACTGTTTCCAGCCCTTCTATGGCCTCGAGTTGTTTGTCAGACATATGCTTCTTTATGACATGCAGTGCTTTTGCATGTGATGTCTTTTGAGCTTTTGATGGTGGAGCAGGAAAGTCATTGGTGAGCCATTCTTCGACGTCCATGGTAGTAAGGAATGTGGTACATGCAGATGCCCATCGTTTGTAGTTGCTTCCAGTATTGTTGAGGGCTTCGAATTCGAGCTTTAAGTCTGACATCGATCGGTTAGGTTTATTGTCACTAGAGTCCTATTGACGGAGTGCGTCTAGAGCAGTATGGCGCTGATAACGTGTCCTATGTAAGCTCAGGGTG